GCCCCGGGCCGCGCCGCCGCCATTGGCTAAGCCGGGAGCCCCCGCCCCCACGCTGCGCCTCGCCCCCTTCCTGCCGCCGCCAACCAATGGGCTCGGCCGCCCCCTCGCCCCTCATTGGTGAGTGGTTAACCCCTCCCCATGGTTGCATACCTATTGGCTGTGGGCGCTTGGCCTTTCCTCGGATCTGCCGTCCGATTGGTGGGCGTGAGTGCCAGTCTAGCCTCCCAATTCGCGTACCGGGGAGAGGCCCGCGGAGGGGGAGGCCGTGCGCGGCGCGGACGTGGTGACGTCGGCGGGGCTCGGACGCTTTGCCCAAGATGGCGCCGTGCATGAAGTGCGGGCCTTGTCGCCCTTAGTGGCTGCGTCGTCCCGGGTGGCTCCCGTGCTTGTTCGAGGCTTGAGTGCGGCCGCGGGGCCCGACCGGGCCCTCAGGGCCGGGGACAGGTAGAGCTGGGTGGTGGGGGTAGCTTGGGCCCAGGCAGGGCGGAGGCGGCAGCTGGAAGCGTGTGAGCTCCTCCGGCCGAGCCGGGCCCCTTCGCTCGCGATGCCCTTGTAGCCCTTCTGAAGGCCGGGGCTTGCGGGGCGGGTAGGGAGAGGGCAGGAGCCAGGGCAGTACGGGACGAGCGGGGGGGCGGGGAGAGGGTGGCAGCTTGAGAAACAAAACCAAACGGATCGGTTGTGCGCGGGACGGACGTTTGGGGCGCTGTCAGCTGCCCCATCCCCTAGGCCAGCGGTTCCCAATCTCTGGAACAGGCACCACCAGCAGTACTCTTAACAGATGCATTATAGTTACTTTGTATGACAAAAAATTGCTGGTGGTATTTAAGGTTGCATCATTTTAAATTGGTGATGTGCAGTCTGTCCGCGTTTGGGAACTGCTGCCCTAGAAGCTGGAGGCGTGGGTGGGCAGCACTGGTCTAAGTAAAATGAAACAAACTTGGTTTGCAGTAAGGTCATTCTGGTTGCAGCCCCCCATCATAGGTTCTTTTGAAGCTGGTGACCGAAGTTGCCGCATCACCTCATGGGCACTGCTCATAAAGGAAATTTTCAGGTGGCTGAGAACACCCGGGGCCAAGACGTTATTGTCCATTTGCTGGTTCTGTCATCTATAGCGGGGTGAATAGTGGACTTTCAAAGAGGACAAGTCACCTGAAGATCATTTGTAGAGAGACTTAGGGAGCAGTTGGATCATGGTGCCAGTACTGTAAATTTAATCTAAAAACTTACATGCTGTGTTTACATGCTCATAGCAAAATCAGCCACTTTCTGAGGTCACTTTCAGGTCTTAGAACTTGCTGATGTAATTTGTATAAGTAAAGAAAATTGCTTATCTGAGGGTGGAAATGTTTTTGTTTTGGCACCATTTGTAAAGACATGTCTTTCTTTTTAGGTTCTGGAGCTGCTACTTGAAAATCTACCCTTTGAAAACTTACCAAGCAGGATCCATTCTACTTCAATAAATGAAGGAGAATAAAGAAAATTCCAGCCCATCTGTAAATTTGGCAAACCTGGACCACACAAAACCATGTTGGTACTGGGATAAAAAAGACTTGGCGCACACACCATCACAGCTAGAAGGCCTTGATCCAGCTACTGAAGCACGATACCGGCGAGAAGGGGCCCGGTTCATATTTGATGTGGGAACACGTCTTGGGTTGTATCCTTTGAGTTGGTTTGAGGCCGCTATTTGCATTATAAAATAACAACAACACTAGAAAAATTATTACTAGCAAGAATAGTTTGTACTTTTTTATTCGTTCTTGAAATTTAGTCATCTTTTCAAAGCATCTTTGATAGTTAAATGTCTGTTTTAATGTATTGTATTTCTACTCTAATTTATTTCTTCTGTTTGATTGACAAGGATTCAGTTGATAAAATGACAGCATAAAGGGGAAATGAGATTATAGAGCTTTCAATCATATAGTGATTTTGGAGATTAGAAGTACCTGCTTTCTTACCTCAAGCCTTTGCACAAATCCTTCAGGCTTAAGTTCTGGAACTTTTTCCACTGGATACCTCTTGAGCAACATGAAGGGCCTCCAGGTCTATCAAGTCTAATCCTTTGTTTTCTCAGTCATTTATCTAGGGAATTCCCCAAATCACCATTTCAGCCCTCTCACATAACTGTAACACACAGCAATAACTGAAACACTAGGTAAAAGCACGGAAGGTAAAGGGCACTGCAGATGCCCTGGAACTGCAATGGCTGGGTAGTAGTTAGTTAATATATGCTCAAAAGGATCAAGGCAGGTCAGAGTCCTTCTACCCTTTGTATGACTTGGGTGTCATAAGAACTTTATAATGGTAAATGACCCACCTCAAGGCTTACTGTAATTATTTCATTTTTCTGATCCAGTTCTGTGGGTTTTAAGTTAAATGAGTGGAATTATGTGGACCCCTGTGTAAGCATCATCTTGACTCTCTGTCCATGCCAGCTCATAAGATCTTTAGAGAAGGAGCCTCATATTTTCATGAAGTGATTGTTGTGAAAGTTATTTTGTGAATTATCTCCTCTGCATGTTAAATGAAGTCCTTATTATTAGTTTTAATTTATTTGGATGAAAGCTGGATATTTCTCTCTTTGCTTCTTTCGTCCATCTCTTACTTTAAATAAGCTTCATGCTCTGTTTAAATCCTTATCCTGTAGCATAGACACTATGACACTTTGGCAACTGGAATAATATATTTTCATCGGTTTTATATGTTTCACTCCTTCAAGCAGTTCCCAAGATATGTAAGTTTACAGCATTGATTCTTAAGTGCAATGGATGTTTTAAGTATGCAGTATTTAAGGTGGTGGCAAATGGCTGATGTGAGGCACAGTTATTGAAGTGTCATGTTTTATGGATAAAAAGTTCTGAAAACTGTTGTCAAGATTGCATCTTAAAGTGTGTGTGTGTAAAGTTTAACTTACATGTTGGAGTCGCATAAGTATGTCAGAAAAAGACTAATATGGAGAATGTTAATTTGTGTGATTTATCATGTTAAGGATAAATCAGATCCTTTAAACATGTTGCCTTGAAATGAAAATTTAAATGTTTTATGTTGAATATCAAACCTTAAAATTTACCATTTCTCCCTGTGTACACTCAGTCAGTTAAATGACCTACTGCAAATAAGCCTTGCTGTTTGTAATTCTGTTATGCTAATCTCATTCTGAAGAAAGTGTTAAAATTTATGGTTTGCAGCTTCTGGTAAATGCTCTATAAAAATAAAAATTACATAATTACATTTTAAAAACCCTCATGAGGCAATGTTCATTTTGTGCTAAGGCAGAAACTGTTTATATTTTTAATCATAAAATGCTGCTTAATGGGCAATCATCCAAAAGCCTATATTTACTTTACTTTACACATAACTTAGCTTCTACTACTGTAGTCAATGCATCAGCTTTTAATTATGTTAACTGTTCTATGACAGAGAGCATCTTATAGCCTGATAGTTGAAATTGGCAATGTTTTACTTAGGATGCTACATTTAAATACATAGACACCTTTCTGAACAAGTTTTCTTCGGTAGGTGACTGGAGCCTGCTGTCTCTTCCTGGCAGGAAAAGTTGAAGAAACACCTAAAAAATGTAAAGATATAATCAAAACTGCTCGTAGTTTATTAAACGATGTACAATTTGGACAGTTTGGAGATGACCCAAAGGTAAAAATAAGTTATGCTTAAATTCTTGTCTATGTAATAACAACTTAATATATTTAGTAGATTAAGTTAATATTCTTTATATGCTAAGGCTTTATTTCTCTCTGAGATAGCAGCAGGAAAGTTAGATTCTCATTTGAAGGGAGACTGACAACTTCAACTTTCATAAAGGTATGGACATACAAACAATTTACCATGGGGCAAAAAGATGAGGCTTTACCGTAGGAGATTATGCAAACTTACTGCCATATGCTTGCTCTTATTGCATGACAAGTAGAAGTTAAAGTGATAGCTAGCTGCTTAATACACCTTACTCCTCTTCTTATTGAGGGCAAAGCTGCTGCCTTTAGTTTCCAGTGTAGTTAAGTTTGTCAGGGAAGCCTAAGTCTCTTAATTTTCCTGTTACTTTGAATGGTGTCTTAGGCACAGGAGAACCTGATTTCTTGGGGAAAAGACAATATATTAAGTTGACAACATAAATACACAAAATTGGAAAGCTAGGTAAATACTCTTATAATTTCTTTCAGTTATTAAAATGTTAGGGGCAAACTTGAAACTATAATTACTACAACTTTTCAGAGAAATATGACTTTTTTTTTAATTATAGGCTATCCCTTTAAAAGAAATAAGAAAACTTGAGTCAAGGATTTTTATGGGTGATATCTTTCATTGGACCAACTGCATAGTAGGAGGGACACAGACTAGCTTTCGGGTATCAGTCTAACTATACGCTTGATCCAATACAAGAAGTTGCCCACAAAAGTCCTTAGCTCTCACTGTTTTCATAGAAAAACTTAGTTTTTCAAAACTCCTCTCAGTTCAGCAAGTGTATGGTATGAGTTCTAAGAAATATTTCTTATTCTCCACGGTATGTTAGTAGTTTCAGTTGCTTTGACTGATTTTTTTTTTTTTTTTTTTTTTTTTTTTTTTCTTCAGTTGCTACAAAAAGCTACCATTAAAAACACAGTGATTTTTTGGATTACTCAGTTCTTAGGTGCTTAATTTGAGACACCTTAAAAGGTTCTTATATTTCACAGAGTGGCCAGCTGATAGTTTTGAAAAAGTAAGGTTGTCAGGATGATCATACTGAAGTGAGATGCCCCAAATTGCTCGTCTATTCAGAAAATTGCTGGTCAGTTTGCCTGATCTGCCGTCCCAAATTCTACAACAGCAGTTGTTATGTATGACTTACAAAGTTTTTAAGATCCTTTAAGAAAACAGATGCTCTCTTGTTTATTTTATTTATTTTGTTGGTTTTTTAGGTTTTTTTTAGTAGAGTTTAGAATCCAGTGGACAAGTAGTGATATTTTAAATCCAAAGCCCATAATTTATTTTTTTGTGTTGATTTTGATGCCTCTATATAAATAATAGATGAAGGCAAAGTTGTAAAATACCCTTGAGCCTTTTCACTTAGGCAGAGGTTATAGTTTCATCCTGTTAAGTATGCTTACCTGTTTATCATGATCATCCTAATGGCACCTTGAGATTTAATTAAAAAATTGATGTCAGATTACCCTATGTGAATCCAGCCTCTCCTGTTTAAGCATTAAATCAAATAATTTAAGGAAATATGGTATATAAAAGTCTTCGTTTTGTTTTGTGCATTTGATGCTTTATGTACTGTCAGTTTTGCTACTTTTCCCCTGTTCTTCCTTCACTTTTTACTCAGCTTTTACACCACAATATTAAAAGCTCTTCTAAAAATACTGAATGTAAAATGAAAAAGAAAAGTTGCCTAATTTTCTGATTTTATTTACTTTGGCATCTCTCATAAATATTATGTTGAAGTTTCTGTTTTACTACTTGAGGCAGCTGTAATGGAGCAGTCAAACCTTGTTTCCCTGGGGATACTGTTTAGCAGTGGTCATCAACCAGTGGATCTTGATCCACCAGTAAATCTTGGAGCCTCCTGTGGTAGATCTCAGAGCCTCTTGGAGTCCCTCTGAGGCTGGGATGAGGGGCTGAGTGCCCGCGTGCATGCATGCATGCACCCCAGCCCAGCAGGTCACTCTGTAGGGGAGGGAAGGGGCAGGGGCTAGATTGAGGTCCCAGCGGTGAGGGATGGTGCTGCAGAGGTAGGAGCAGGGTTAAGTAGAGCCCAGGCTGGGTGGGACATACCTGCTGGGGAGGTGTGCCCCCAAATATCTTTTTCTCCCTCTACCTCAATCTGCCCCCCACCTTCCCTCCCCACAGACATACCTGTTGGGGGGAGATGGGGTGGCAGCTGTGCACGGTAGATCTCAGGTTGCTTTTAAATGCTAAAGGTGTCATCTCCTACTTAAAAAGGTTGGAGACCACTGCTGTATAGTCACATTTCAAACAAATATCAAACGTTAATGAGCGAAAGAAGAGGTAATCTCATTTATGGTTACTTTCTCATCTTTTCTAGGAAGAAGTGATGGTTTTAGAAAGAATCTTGCTACAGACTATAAAGTTTGATTTACAAGTGGAACATCCTTATCAGTTCCTTCTCAAGTATGCCAAACAACTCAAAGGTAATCAATAATAAATAAAATATTTTTAGTATACTTCAGTAATAGTTGTATACCACTAAAAGAGCAATTTGACCTGAAGTTATTTGCAAACACTAATCCACCTGATAAAGGAAAAATGAATATTAATCTTATTTTCCTGAAGGGAGTTTAGACAGAGGTTGCCTAACCCCACAAACTGAGAGCTAGTAGATATTTTCAAAAGTAAATGTTCTTGGCATATCATCCTGAGCAAAAATGAGGGTACTAAGGCATTTAGTCTTAGTAGATCATATTTCTTTTTCACTTTGGAACTGCTGTTTTTAGACAAGTGGATTTCAGTAGTTCATTTCTCCTGTCATGGAATGCCTTCAGAAGGTCTTGATGCTGGCTTCCTTAGCCCTGATAGCTCAGGCAAAAGTACTTTTTGCAGTTATACTTTCTCTTTCCATGCTCAGACCCATTCAACTTCAATTCCTTGTCATCAGAAATCACCAGGGATCCTGGTTTTCCCTGATGAAAAATCACAGATTTTCTGATGATAAACTCCAAAATCCATGATTAACATTGAAGGCCCCCACAGCCCTGCCCCTCCACAGCCCTGCTGGTGCCCCTCTTCTCCCCTCCCCCCGCCAACAGCCTCCCCAGCCCCACACATGCAGGCACAGACATACACCACCCCCAGCAGGTAAGTGTGTGGGGGGGAAGGGGTGGGGTGAGAAAAAGGGAAGGTGCTGGAGGGAGATTGAGAATTGGGGGGGTAGGAGGGAATGTCTCTGTGCCTGCTCCCAGGAGCAGGGGGTGGGGTGTCACACACAGTGGCTGGCAGTGCCCTGCGCCATCATGCGACATTGGTATGGGGTTGTGGCGGTGGCCAGCTGCTGTGTGCAAGTTCCGTCTCTCCTTCCTTCCCCTAAACCCTAGTCAGTACCCGTCTTCAGGCCACACACACCTTTCTGCTGAACTGGGAGGGCTCATACTCAGTGGCTGCTACCACCCCACACCACACCACCAATGCCGTGCTGCTTCACACAGAGCCACGTGTGCGACTGGATGCAGCGAAGCGGTGTGGGGCAGTGGCACTGCTGTGTACAAGCTTCCCCATCCAGCTGGCCAGCCAGTGCATGTACAGCCCACAGAGAGGCACCACTGCCCTTGCCCCTGGCCAGCTGCTGCATGTACGGCCTGCAGAGGAACACTGCTGCCCTTGCCCTGCCTGGCCCTGCTCCTGGGAGCAAGCACAGAGGCACACCCCCCCCCCCCCCCCCGCAGCCCCATTCTCGATCTGCATCAGCCCCTAGCCAGCTTCCCTCCCCCAGCCCTGCCCTGCAGCCCCCACTTACTTTACAGGCTCCAGGAACCAACAGTGAGCCTGATCCAAGCCTTGGGTGAGTGCAAGCCTCTGGCCCCACCCTTCCCCCTCTCCCTCCGGACAAGGCTGGGATTTCCCCAGCCTTTTTGCAATTAGCTCTTGCAGGCTGGAACTCTGCCGGCCTGTAGAGCTCTCTGCAAAGCCATGAAATCTGCAGGTTTCTCTGCTAAAAAGTAAAATCCATTTTTTCTCTGATTTAAAAACAGGAAATCTGTAGTTTTCCCTGTTGTCCCACGTGAAACGGAAAACCCAAATCCTTGGAAATCAATTGCTCATCCTACACAACCGTCCTATAATGCTTTTGTCCTGTAATGTCATATTTCTCTGTTTTTCACTCCAAAAGAAAGAATGCCTCTATTCCATTGAACAGAAAACCACCACTTCGGTGTTCTTTCCACTTAAAAGATAAATGTTGGGATCCCTATCATTTCAGAAAGCTCAAAAAAATTAGTGCAAAAGGTAAATGTTTTACAGAGATATGACATATGAAAGCAGTCTTGCAGCTTTAATAATTCACTTGCAACTATTAAACAAAGAGCATTAAAATTTTCTGGGGATATTTCCAAATATTCCAAAGTCTTTCTTTTTTTATTAGTTTACTCCATTAAAAATTTTCAAGCACTTTTAATTTATCATTCAATCTTTTTCTTTTTCAGGAGATAAAAACAAAATCCAGAAACTGGTTCAGATGGCATGGACATTTGTAAATGACAGGTAAATTGTTTCCACACATTATTATAATTTTTGACAGTGAAGTATTTCAGTTACTTACCACAACTTTTTTTATTTTGGACCCTGACCTTTCTAATTCCACCTAGATGAACTCAAGCTATACCTTTTTCTGCAAACAGTGGAGACCGTTCAGATATGTTATAAATCACTTGGGTCTCTCTCCCCTTTAAAGAAAAGACTCAAAGACTCTTATTCAGGGGTGAGAGAGTAGATTGGGAACAACAGAGGGAAAGCCAGCTATAGGAGCATTTCCACCCCAAATAAGATCCAAAAGCAGCTGGTCAAACCCTTGAGTCACAGAAATAGATCTGAGTGGTCTTTAACGATCTGTAGGAAGAGAAGTATATAACTGATTATCTTGGACTGGGAGAGAGGATTTTTCAAAAAGTTAGCTGTTGTGTGACATATTTTAATGGTTTGGTGTTGTAGGAAGGTAGATTGAGCTGTAAATAATTTTATTCAAGTCTATTACATCAGTCAGCATTTAGAAAAGAAAAAATATATGGTTTCTTCTTAGTTTACCATCTGTAACTGCTGAATTGATCAAACTACTTCCAATTGCAGTTTTAAGTGTGGCTTTATTTTTAAAAGGTCGGTATGTTAATATGACACCTCAGTTAATAGATGTGATCTCTGGGTATTGAGTCATTTCTGCTAATTTAGTGGCCAAGCTCTTCCCGGTGGGGCTGCAATGGGAGGGGGCTATGGCAAATTTGTGGCTGCAGGCTCGCTCCCCGCGCAGTCCTGCTTCACCAGGAAGAGCTTGGTGCAGCCCCGGCCCCTGCCCTCCCAGATGAGCCAGTGGCTCCTGGCCGAGGGACGCACAGCAGTGGGAGTCACCCCTCCACACCCCTCGCCCGCTCCATCCTGTGCCCACCCTGCCTGGCTGGACAGTACTTGCCCTTGCCCCTGCCCCAGCCCCATGCTTCCCTTCCCACAGGGGCCTTGATCTACCCTCCGCAGCTCCTTCCCTTCCCCCTCCTACCACACCAGACTTACAAGCTAGAGGCAGCTCTCCACACTGCTGGACTGTGCTCCTTGCCACCTGTGCTGTGCCATGGCTGCACTCATGCATGGGCCATTTATCGGCTAAATTTTCAGCCTGATAAGTTCCAATATATTAAATTTTCCTTATATCAGTGCCAATCCAATATCGGACCAATGTATGGGTGCGCCTCTAGTGATTAGGCTCATATTTTCTAGCTCAGGTGCCTAGGTAGAGACAAAAAGTGACCCGATTGACCAAGGGGTGTGAGAACCAACAGTTCCTTTTGGCTTTGTTCAACAGTGTTGAGGAACAGCTTCTCTGAAAATAGCTTGATTTTATTCAAGTATGTTAGGTTCTCACATTTGAGAATGGTAGCGTGTGCGCTAAGCTGTGGATACCTGCATAAGGCAAGTGGGGGTAAAGCAGTTGCACAGATAGTGGTAACAGTCTTTTAGAGATGAGCAAGGTGTTTGGCACAAGCACATCAGCACACACAATTAGACTTGCATCATATTTATCATAGATAAAGATACTTTAGGGAGAACAGAAAGCAAATTCACTTTCTGATCCCAAGTGAAGCATGCAGGGCTAGCATCTATTAGCAGGGGTAGGCAACTCCTGGCACAGGTTCCAGAGCATAGCACATGTGAAGGTATTTTGCTCAGTATTGTGCAGCTTGGGGCAGATGGCAAAGAAGGGTCTGGGACAGCTCAACCAGGATTGGGCCCCTCATAGCTCTCCGCCCCATCCGCTCCTGACACACCAACATCTTGCAAGTCAAAGTTGCAGGGTTTTTGGCACTCTGCCCAGAAATGTTGCCAAACCCTGTTCTACAGAAATATTTTTTCTCGGTAAATTTGGCCAATGTTAGACAACAATGTCATGGAGGTGATTGTAGGGGCTATATGATGTTTTAACTAATATCTCAGAATATGTGCTTTGGAAAAGCACTGAATTCATCCAGTGTTGTTCATTACTGTCACCAATGTGGATTTCAACTATAGGTACTTCAATTAAGATTCTCTTTCTTTCTTGCCTGATTAAAAGGACTGCTATGTAGCATTCGTTAAAATGGTTTAGATTCCCTACAGTAACATAAATATGTTTATAGTTGCAACATTAAACATGTAAAATCTGCTAAAAGTTTACATCTTGCAAGTGTTAAAACTACTTTTTGCATTTTTACTGTTAAAACAATTTTTAAATGAGCCATTGTTATCAAAGTATACTTCTGTTTTATGGACTTCAGGCATCCATAATATACAGATTTTTTTTTTTTGTTCTCTGCTTTAACCTTTTTGTATTTTGATTGCTCTGTTTTTGTAATGAGTGAACAGCCTGAAATGTTGTAACCAGCTGGCTAGAACTAAATAATCAAATTTAGTTTCCCATGATTACATTTAATAATAGAGGAGCTGTAGTAGTATCAGCTTTACTATTGTATTCACTGCTACAAAGGCCAATCAGGAGGTGACCTGCTGAAATTTTTAGAACTGGATCTAAAAATTTAAGTAATCTAAAACTTTGCTTTGAGGACTTGGTTGTAGAATTGTTTATTGTTCCTTGTCTCTCTTTCCTTGTTGTTTTTGCTTTATTTAAATGCATTTTATCTGTAATAACTGGAGGAAAAAAAAGGCAGGCATTCTTTCACAATTGAAATGAAGCCCTGCATGCATGTCTAGGTCAGAAGACCATATCCAGCTGACATAATAAAAGGATTTTTTTGGCTAAGCAAAATGTAATTATCCAAGCTGGAATTTGATGCAGTTAAATGCACACCCTTTTCTCCCTCCCTCCCCCTTACATTGTGAAAACTTTATCCTGGTGTGTCAGGCTACATCTAAAATGTCTCAGCTAATTATTCACTTCTTTCTGTGGTTATTATTGCTGAGAGTAATGTTCTTTGTACAGGTAAAATCAAACTTAATTTCTGATTACTGGTACTACATAAAGTATTGAGTCTGGCAAATTAGCTTGTCTAGCAAACAGATTCCTAGTTTTGTTCATTAACACTGTTTGAATAAGATCTTAAAATGGTCATCTTAATTGTCTAATCAGTAAATAGTAGATACCACATATTCCAATTTGTGATGTAGCTGTTGGAGCTGACTTAAACTGGCTGTTCTTTCATATTCTAGTCTCTGCACTACATTGTCACTGCAGTGGGAACCTGAGATCATAGCTGTTGCAGTTATGTATCTGGCAGGCCGTTTATGCAAGTTTGAAATTCAGGAGTGGACATCAAAACCAATGTACAGAAGGTGGTGGGAGCAGTTTGTTCAAGATGTACCTGTTGATGTTCTGGAAGGTACCAGCAGTGATTTTTTTTTTCCAAATTAGGTACTTGCAGTCTTTTAAAAAAAAAAAATGAGATCTGGTCAGTTTCTCCTATAACTTCCTGGTTTGGGTGGCTTTTTTCCCTAAACGGCATGATCACACTTATTGCTCAAAGTAATCTTGTTTAAGTGTATCTGGCACAGGACATATTCAGTGGTGAGCCCAGTAGTCAGAAATGTTCTGCTTATATTTTTCCAAGAAAACTGACTCTACCGACAGGACAAGGAATAAAGGGTAAATAGTGATCAGGTTTTCAGTGGGTCTTAGCATGGAGTATATATGTATCTTTGTGCCTGAACAATTTTTTTTGTTCAGTGTTTGATTTGCTAATTTTCATTTGTGCTACATTTTCATTTTTTACTGCAGTACATCTTACAATGGAGGGGAGGCAATTGGAGTTTAAAAGATGGAGTAAAAACTGCATAATAACTCCTCTGACCTTTTAAAGGTACTCAGATGTTAGTTCTATCCCGACATCTTACAAACAACATTTTTACAAGCAGGACTAGCTTGTGAAGAGAAATAGCATGGAGCTCCCATCCTTGCCTAATACAACATTATTTCCCCTAATGGAGAATGAGAAATTGATGCTCCAAAGGAAGTCTCTTCGCTGGTGACACCATAGAATGATGTACACTGACCTCTGTATTATTGGACAACTGAACCTCGTCCTTTATAAGCCATCAAGTCATGTATCAGTACCACCCAGGCTGTGTACATATAGAACTCTGTTAGGACACCAGTATCTCTCTTCTTACATATATATGCATCAAGGTTCTGTCTAAGTTGCATGCATGCACGACTGCGCACAACTAAAAGTGTGGCTGTGCACAGCCTTTTCAAGGCCGTACACCAGGAAGAGGCTGGGGCAGGAGCCTGGTGAGGGCTCCACTGGCTCTGAGGAAGTGCTCTGCTCCCCTGCATCAGGGCCGGGGAGTAGAGCACGTCCTCGGAGCTGGCGGAGCCTGTATCAGCCCCCCACCCCAGTCTCCATCCCTGCCTTTCCTCACCTCAGGGAGGAGCCACTGCCTGTCCCAGTGAGGCTCCACCGGTTTCAGGACACTGCTGTGCTCCCCTGCATGGCCTCGGGGAGCAAGGAGGCACATGGCGTCAGGGCCGGGGCGTGGAGCAGTGTCCTGGAGTCAGCGGAGCCTCACTGGGGCAGGCGGCGGCTCCTCCCTGAGGTGAGGCAAGGCAGGGATTGAGACTGGCGCGGGCTCCGCCAGCTCTGGGAAAGTGCTGCACTCCCTGGCCCTGATGCAGGGGAGCAGAGTACTTACCCAGAGCCGGCGGAGCCCATGCCGGCCGCCTGCCTTTGCCCCAGCCTCTGGCCCCTCAGCTCCCAGCCCCAGCCTTCTACCCCAGCCTCTGGCCTCCAGCCCCAGCCTCCACCCCCCAGCCAGCTTCCCCTGGCCCCCAGCTCTAGCCTCCTTCCCCTGGCCCCCAGCCTCTTGGCTCCAGCTCCTGGCCCCTGGCTCTGGCCCCCAGCCCCCTTTGATAAGTGTCCCATGCCGGACTGTGGTGGCATGCTCACAGACCGTTACTCCTTAGAGAGAACATTGATATGCATATATTATGCTCCTTAATTTTTTTTTTT